GGTGCTGAAAGAAGTGAATTATCATTTGACACATACAGATATCTTTTGGTCGCTTGTCAACAAAAGGTTGCTTTCTGACTATACCCATGTGACTGCTAGTCAGTAAATACTGATGCTGCTTATGGTTTTCGGATCGTGTCCCTGATGCACAAAGAGAAGAGTTATGAATGTGTTTGCCTCGCTGTACATAAGGCCTCACACAACTTTTTGATTGGTCTTTGAAGGGAAACGTGATAAAATGCTCGATTTCCAGCCCATACTCCTCTCTAGGGATCAAGGGATAAATGAAGGAATGCTGTATGTAAGGAAGGATCGGTTCTCAATCTCAATCCAAAATGAGTCTTCAATACAAGTCACAGTCTCACCAGTTGGTCTGACTGATAACTTAACTATTCCAGACACACAATCAAAAGCTGTAGCTGTTTACACCTGACATTAATATTTGTCTTGTCTTGTCTGTGTTCAACCGATCCACAGAAAAGAACTGAACAATTCAGAACATACGGAGCAATATGTTTCATTTCCTATGTTCATTTAAAAAAATACAGCCAGCAAATGGGATTAATTTAGGAATACTCACAGCCTGTCACTTAGTAGGTTTTGAAGCTCTGAATCTTTATAGAAAACACTCCAGTAACTCTTACACCTAACTTATTTACGACGCTTGAGACAGAAAGTGGTTTATGCTCTCTGAAGCTCCAACCAAACATGACTCTCTGGGGAAGATGCTGTCATCAGCACAGATACACAGCCATAAAACACTTTCATTATGAACTGGCGTTAGCTAGAAGTCACGAACACTGTCACTCTCTCATTTCCTCTCATTTTGCTTTTGGCCATTCTGTTGTATCCAGTTAAGCATGAAATACAATTTAACCATTAAGAAGCAGTGAAAAAAAAATGGAACAAACTTTGCAAAATATTGAAATTATGCCTAATTCAGTAGCAAAAACAGTATTAAGACCCATCAACACCAAGAATGATAACTATAAAGATAGATGCTCTCTGAAGCTCCAACCAAACATGACTCTCTGGGGAAGATGCTGTCATCAGCACAGATACACAGCCATAAAACACTTTCATTATGAACTGGCGTTAGCTAGAAGTCACGAACACTGTCACTCTCTCATTTCCTCTCATTTTGCTTTTGGCCATTCTGTTGCATCCAGTTAAGCATGAAATACAATTTAACCATTAAGAAGCAGTGAAAAAAAAATGGAACAAACTTTGCAAAATATTGAAATTATGCCTAATTCAGTAGCAAAAACAGTATTAAGACCCATCAACACCAAGAATGATAACTATAAAGATAATTATATCAAAACTAAACTCTCAGAAATAAAGATACAAATGCTGTCAATGGGGTGGTTCCTTTTCAAAAGGTACACATTTGTACCTAAAGGGTCCATATTGGTACCTTAATGGGGAATATTAGTGTACAAATTAGTATCTAAAAGGTACAAAAGCAGAGGTACCACTCCAGTGACAGCATTTGTATCTTTATATTATAGTATATGTGACCCTGGACCACAAAACCAGTCTTAAGTGTAATTTTTTACTGAACAAATTATTTATTTTTACATCTGAAAGCTGAATAAATAAGCTTTCCATTGATGTATGGTTTGTTAGGATATGATAATATTAGGTTGAGACACAACTATTAGAATATCTGGAATCTGAGGGTGCAAAAAAAATCAAAATATTGAGAAAATCGCCTTTAAAGTTATCCAAATGAAGTCCATAGCAATGCATATTACTAATCAAAAATTAAGTTTTGATATATTTACGTTAGGAAATTTACAAAATATCTTCATGGAACATGATCTTTACTTAATATCCTTAATGATTTTGGCATAAAAGAAAAATCTATAATTTTGACTGTCTGAACTGTTCTGAGCGCGTCCTGAGCGTCCTATCTCTCAAATGGACCATTGACACTCCTAATTGAGATTGTAGATAGAGTGTCAATGGTCCATTTGAGAGATAGGTGGCGGTAATGCACTTATAAGTCTGCGATCTGTCATAAAGCAAGAAGAAGAAGAAGACGTGTCACGCGCCGGCTGTTGAGGACGTGCTCAGGACAGTTCAGACAGTTCAGACATTGCAGTGCATCAGAGGTAAAAAACGATATAAATACTGTTCAGTTTCTTGCACAGACCGATCGTTTCATGTCTTTACACATCAATGTATCGTCACGAGCCGCAGGGTTTAATTTGGGTTTATTTGTGTATGTTTTTTTGACTCTCAAAGCCGTGATTTCCATTCACTTCCATTATAAGACTGACAGACTGCAACGGTTTGAGTTAAAAATCTTTGTTTGTGTTCTACTGAAGAAACAAAGTCACCTACATCTTGGGGGTAAGCAGATAAACATAAAATTTTCATTTTTGGGTGAACTATCCCTTTACCTAGTTGCTTATTAGCATGCCTATTATTAATATATTGGCTGCTTATTAGTACTTATAAAGCACATATTCTGCATGAGTATATTCTACACCCCTAATCTCACCCAATACCTAAACTTAACAACTACCTTACCAACTATTGATAAGCAGCAAATTAGGAGTTTATTGAAGCAAAAGTTGTAATTAATGTTTGTTAATAGCGAGAATTGGACCTTAACATAAAGTGTGACTGTATAGTATATTAAAGGGGTCATCGGATGCAACATGCACTTTACAAATTGTTTGAACTGAAATGTGTGTTGGCAGTGTGTGTACACAACCACCCTAATGATAAAGATCCACCCAGTGTTTTTTTTTTAATCTCGTTAAATCATTACCCCTTTCTCAAATCAAGCTGTTCTCAGCTTCTCCTCTGTGTGACGTCACACAGACCAAGGCCCCTCCCACGATTGTTGAATGATAAAGATCCACCCAGTGTTTTTTTTTTAATCTCGTTAAATCATTACCCCTTTCTCAAATCAAGCTGTTCTCAGCTTCTCCTCTGTGTGACATCACACAGACCAAGGCCCCTCCCACGATTGTTGATTGACAGTGGCGTCAGTCTTTGGTTTTATCACAGCTCCGCCCTAAATGAGCTGTCATCAGTCCGCCATTGTTTCACCGCCGGAGCAGGTGTAGACAAGAATGTCTCCTAAGCGATTGAGGTGTTTTGTTGTTGGATGTAATAATGAACATAGCAGTCGTCATTTACTCTCGACATCGGAGCCACTGAAGACGCAGTGGATTACGTTTGTTTTTGAAGGGAATGCGCCCCCTGATCTACCTAAATGCGTCTATGTTCGCGCAAATCATTCATGATCTAGCTTCACCTCCAGAAGAAGTGAGTGTAAAGTTTCAACGTGATCTCATGATAATTCGTATGTATTTTACGTAAAATGTGGTTCTATAAAACGTACATTTACTTACGTTTTTACAGGCTCTAAAATGTACAATACTTACGTATTTTCAGCCTCAAATCGCCTTTCCTAATAATGCGCTAGTTAGCGAGTGCTAGCTAAATGCTGCAAAAGTTTACAGTCTCTCAGAGAGCGGCTCGGAAGAGAGGGGTGGGGTCAGCAGAGCTCATTTACATTTAAAGCGACATGCAAAAAAAATGGCTTGCTGTAAACAGAGCTGTTTTTGACAGGGTAAAAACTGTGTTGTTTTACACTACCATTGAGAAATTTTAACCAAACTATGTTACAGACTTTTCATTAAGACCCTTAAGAATCATATCAACTTGTGAAAGATGGGCATCCGATGACCCCTTTAACATCCACACGAACAGATGATAAGGTTCTGTATATAATAAATGCTTGCAGTTTTATCATCTGTCAATTTAAATGATCAAGCTCCTTAAAGTTGAGTGGCTGTCAATGTCATCCCTGTTTTCATAGAATTAGAAGGATTTTTAAAACTTTATCTTTATCGTTATTATTAGTTATAATCCCTTTAAAATTGGTAAATTCAAATTGTCAGTTTAAATGAATTCCTTCAATGATTAATTTGCTGCACTTTTGCGGCCAAAGATACCCCAGGTGAATAGGGTAAAAAATTTACTAATAGATATTACTATATTTCCACAGTTGATTGATTACAAACATTGCAAACAACAAGAATTGCAAACATATTTTGCATTACAAGTTTTCAGAAATTTTATGCTTAAATATGCAAATAAGGCATTATCTGACAACAGCTATAAAATTTTTTTTTTTTAGGAATAAAAAATAAGGCAAAACATATATGAACAAACCCTTCTGTAAAAACGTCAAAACTGTAAAGTTTGGTGTATGCAAGTACTACAGAACCTTTTAGCTCGGAGCAGGAGAAAAATCTAATTTTGAGAAAATGATGTTTGAGAAAAAAGATGCGTGTTGTATTTGAAATCTACAGACTAAAAATGGAAAAACTGCTATAAGAAACGCTTCCAAGTGTATTTTGGATGATTTCTTTCCACTAGTATAAAAAAAATAAAAAAATACTCCATGAAAAGCCAAAAAGCCCAAAAACTCAAAATTGACAGATGCATGAAAAAAACATTTTTGCCTGTCGTGTCTCACCTTAAGTAATCTGGTATAAATATATGTAGGAAAATATTGGTGAATATAAATAGAAACTATTAAATAATTTCACAATTTGAGACATTAATATATACACACACACACACACACACACACAACACGAGTCAACACTGTGTGACAGAAACCTGCTGTGATCTACTATAACTGTGAGTCTATGATCAGCGCTATCAGCTTGCACTGAAACCTGAACATCCACGAGAAAGAACGTGCCGGAATGACTCCAGAATCTTCAAATTGAGAGTTTCTTGGTTCAGGACCAGTTTTAAAGACTGTACTGCATTAAAAATGAAAGAAAAATATGAGATCCACACCTCCTCTTGTGGACTATAAGAATATCCAGGGCTTAAAATAACTTAGGAATGTAACAAACTTCATAAGTAGGCCGACAAATTCCTCTTAGACAGATGTGGGTGTTAGTGTTTAGGGGAGGAGCTGGTGAGAGAGAGTGCGTGTGTGTGTGTGTGTGTGTTTGTACCTGCACAAAGCTGCACATCACATACTCATCAAACATTGGCAGACTGGGCCTGCTGTCGCGGTATATGTGCAGAGTGTATATCGTCATGACGACGGGCTCAGCCTCTGATTCGTCCATCACCAGAATGTTGATTCTGCTGTTGCCCAGGCCAACCGGGTAGTTTGCCATCCTGAAGGAAACAGAGAAAAGTTCAGAGAAACTCAGCGTACTTGATCACATATATGCACACACTCTCACCCTTCACTTTTGGGGTTATTAATGTCGTGACAGGGCAGGAGGATTACTGTGGATTAAAACTGGGTCCCAGTCAACAGGTGACCCCTCACTCGTGGACCAATAAAGCTGTGCTTTCACAAAACCTTGAGAAAGGAGACAGCCCAGACTGCTTGCAGACGGGATCAGTCAACCCTTCACTTTCTGCATGTAGAACTATTAACTTTTTGTCTGAAACGCTTGTTATTTATGTGATCTACACCATTACTTTCAAGGTATAATCTAATTAATTCAGGTTGATTAAGTCATTTAAAATAATTAAACATTTCATAGATTTTTAGTACAAAATTTTAACTTTATGAAATTATTATAATTACAATATTTGGTTTTAAATAAAATAATTTAGACATTTTGCAAGTTGTCTGACAAAACATCAGACAGTTTTCAATAAAAAACTGAATGCAGAATAACTGAATTACAATTTAAGTATTTTAAACAATATTATCTATCTATCTACAGTATCTATCTATCTATCATTAACATATACATGATTAATTTTACCTAATTTTATGTAATTTATATATTCTCTCACTAATAATTTAGTGTAATTTTAATAATTTAATTTAATCTCTCACTAACAATAATTTATTTTTCATGGCCATAATATTATTATTATTTTTTTTTATCATAAAAGTTCTTTATTAAACAGCAATTAAATGGTCAATACTTCAACCTCCTGTAATCGTAATCCTGGGTCAGGGTCAGCTTTAAATATGTAAAAGCTTTTTTCCCCCTGTGAGTATTAGAGATTACAGGCTGTAACAGAGTCTAATAGGCAGTAATCAGGGATTTTACATGCATGTGTGTGACTCGCCGGGCATGGGAAAGCAAATTCAGAAATTAATCTGATGAATCAATCAAACGGTGAAGTGAGTTTGAGCTGACACATAAGAAGCCAGATCTGATTACTAAGAAAAGGCAGCGACGACATTACTGTACCGCAGACCCTTTGTTCATTGTTTCCCAGCTCAAGCTGCTGTGTTTTACAACACTGACTGCATGCCTGCATAACCCATACAGTCAAGATTTCATGTTTTTATCCACTAAACTTAATCTGTAAGGCTACATTTTAATGCCACAGTATTTAATTCTACTATCTGGCAGCTGAGTTTGTGGTTATGTCATTAGTGTTTGGTTTACCTGGGTCCCAGATGTTCGTCCAGGTGAATGTGGCAGTGTGGGCTGACTGGTTCTGGCCGGATGCGAACGGTGATCACATCAAACGGAACCTCGGCTCGATATTGCTTCTCCAGCGTGTTAAACGCTGGCATCAGCACCAACGGAGGGTCTGTGTACAACTGCCTCAGGTGGGGATCAACACACCTCCCTTGAAAACAGGAGTATTTAACAGTTTTATTTCATTTTCTTATTAAGTACAAACAGTTGGTGCTTTATAAAAACAAATCAAACGTGTTTTTGTAGTTCATATAGTCAGGCTAATATGTTACCACATGCTACTTGCCTTTTCTTGACAGCGGGTCTGATGCCTCTGGGCTCTTTGGGTCGTCCAAGCTGTTGGAATTACAGAAATCACAGCAATTTTTAGTAGGACACTCAACAAGTGCTCTACAATGGTCTGTTAAATGCAGATGATTGGTAGCATGGGACGTTATTAGATTTTTTTTCCAGGAATAGCAAAAGCGAGCCTTTTATGGCTTTTCCCTATACCTTTTAACATTTAAAACAATCAGTGCTGGCTTGAAAAAGTGTCTTAATTTGTTTGAGAGGCAATCAATCATTCCTCAATGAAGTAAGATGCTCAAAGACCGTTATATCATTGTGCAATGGAGTTTGGCTTTGAATTCCCGTCCTGCCAGACAGATGCAGATCATTTACTTCCCACCATCCAGCATACACACAATCCCAATTATCACAGATGACACCAAGACCTTACATGGCTCAACAATAATTTTTTTACAGATTTCTACTTGAATTGTCTATATTTTCCACTGGCATAAAATAAAATGATAAAATAAAATAAAAAAACAGTTCCTGATGTTAAAATGTCACATATATATATATATTTACATTTTAATTTAACATTAGGTATCCTTTAGAAAAGGCAAAAGGAACCTTAAAAAGTAAAGTAAAATTAAAAAGTAATTTTAATGTGAAGCTCTCCTTTGTGGTTAATAGAGCAGCTTTCAGGATGTCACTGATGACGTGATTCATGTGCTCAACGGCCTGATGAGAGAGTTCAGGACCCAGTCTTTCTCTAAAGAATACCTGCAACTGAAAGAAAGAAATCAATCTGACACAGTACATAAACTCACAGCTGAGAGGCAAACAGAGAGATCTCATTACTTCATTCAGCCTCTCTAAACAGATTTCTACACTACAACTACTGCTCGTCAATACTGATTTAACACTGACAGACATGCTTACCTCTACAGCTGCAGATACAGCAACTAAGACAAAAACTCTCAAACATGGACAAGAGATTTATCCTGTATAACTCGATAACCACTAGGTGGTGACACAAACCATACTGAGACTTGTTGACAGTTAGGGGTCACTTAAAATTTCATTTTCAAATGTTAATTTCTGGGTGAATCAGTTGTATAGCTATAAAGTAGCTATTTTGAAGTCAAAAACGTTCAATTTACCTATTAAGATTATGTCCTGTTAGTGTAGTGTTGGGCCTATGCAGTCAATAGCCACTTTAATACATCTCAAATTTAGATTTTAAGAATGTTTGTGAGTACTACAAATATTAGTATGTATTTTGTTAACTTTGTGAGTGATTTGTACACATACTAGCATCAACACATTAAGTCATGTCAGAGAAACCTTTCCATTGTACAATAGGCAGATAGAGGAAGCTAAAGAGCTAAAAAGAAAAGTGATGAGAGAGCGCTATCATTAGAGGGCAGCAGAAGAACAGTAGTCTAGTACTACACATTAATACAGACAACGGGTTATAAACTATGGAAATCAATTGATTTGTACATATGGGTCAAAGACAAAAGGGGGTTTTCAAGCACCAAAACAATAAAAGTTTAATGCAGCTTTATTTTTTTCATAGATTAGAATGTGCCCTGTTTAATTTTATTTTTCGCTGAGCAATATATTTTTACCATTATTTACAGCAGAAAAAAATGTAATTCAGTGTAACAGTAGTTTGTATACCATAAAAAAAAATCTTGTCAGGCATATTTAGAACAAAAATCATTAGATGACATTAAAAGACTCTACTAAGGATCACAGTGCAACCCTAAAATACTAATTAATTGTCATTTGAAATCTTTACCCATCTTTGCCACTATCCTTCAAACCACTAGGTTTTACCCATTTGCCAGCAAGAAGTTTTTAATCATTTAAAAAATAAAAAAAATATTATGATCATATGATCTTATGATATTCTTTTATATATTTTATAAAGTACAGGTCAGAATAAATGTTTCATTTTTCCATAAAAATATGTTATGCTAAACGATATTGGAACATTATTTCTCCCATATTTTGACATTTTATCTAGTAAAGTACACACTTTATTTTGAAGCAGTCACCAAAATGGGGTGTCTCATCTTTGACCCATATATAAATTTAGTTTATAGCCTATATTATATAGCTTTATTATTTACTTCTAATGAGGATGTCACCAAAGGGAAGGTTTGTCACAAGGACACACACTGTCGCACACACTACATTTTGCATAAGATGTGCTCTATATACTCACACACCAACACTAGAGGGGAACGAGCAGACTTTTATGAAGACTTTATAGTGATCTGCTTGTTTGTCAGGGCTCTTTTATCAACCCTTGAAACTCAGTAAACATGATATGTGTCTTATTAGATCTCAATGTGCCCTCCAGCTGTTTACAAGACTGTGACTGAAGCCTCTTCAGTAATCTGGCATCACACACACACACACACACACACAGCGTTAAACTGCAATGAGAGGGGTGTTTCGCAGCTGTGGAGGCCTAATAAACATCACATGGGGAATACTTAGCCAAGCCTTCATCATCAGTAAACGGCAGCACAGGGATCCAAACTGCAATATAAAGACTGGAAAAATCTCATCTGATCTGATTTAAAAATATAAATGCTTATTGAAATAGCTAAAAGGCACCTAATAATCATTTCTAAGCTCATTTGAGAATTGAGACGCAGATATTGTTTTATTTTGACTGTAATTGTTTTACAGCTCTCACTCAAGTGCTTTCTTACCTCGGTGGCATAACTAGTTTTATCCAAGTGGGTTTTGACCAAGACTGTGCGGTGGACAAAAGCGGTCAGCGGTGTTGCCGAGGTAACCAGGACGTATACGTTTACGGTGGCATTTAGGTCCTGATTGTCTGAGCGGCTGTGTGTGATTGGCTGCCTCCTGTAGGATACAGTCACAATAAAGCTTGACATTGCAACATTTTTGGTTGGCAAATTCCTTCAGATGTGACTTGACTTACCATTCATCTTCAGCAGCATTTGGGGTTCCCTCTTGTGGAGATGTGGAAAAAGCACAGGCAGAAGGAAGTATTGGTAATGTCACTCCTGAGATGGAAAACAGACGGGAGAAGTGGATAAAGTCTGAGTTCAGGCACACTGATTTCCTCTGTGAGGAAGACACATAGCACATGTATCGACATGAAGGCCAAAGCTACTTCATTTCTTTCCACAAAGACCTCCAGACATGTGTCTAGAGATACCACGCTACTAAATCATTGAGTTCGGCCACGTTTCTCACACGCAGGTTTAGCTTCTGTGATAAGTAAACTGCAGCTCTGTTCTAAAACATAGTGAGCTGCCTTACTTCTAACTGTCTACATAGGTAGTAACAGTAACTGACTTTGAATGCTCTACATAGGCAGTAACTCTGCAAAAAAAATGTGAAGCGCACAAGATACTTTTAATTACAAATAATTTCAACAGAATTTGAGACTAAGCTAACCGCATGCTAGTCTTAGTATACAAATACACTGCACACATAAATATTAGATTTAAAAAGTTCAGTTTTTTCATAATTTAAATTTTTCTTCATTCATCCACCATGTTGCAATGACTTTCAGTGTCGCAACGCATTCTGGGATTGCATCTCACCATGAAGTTGTGCAGTTTTGCCTCAGAATTTGGTTAAAACAAGGTAAATTTTTACATGTTTTTGAACAAAGTCTCTTATGCTCACCAAGACAATACAGTAAAATAAGTGATATTATGAATGATTATTGCAATTTAAAATACCTGTTTTCTTTTAAAATATATTTTAAAATATAAAATGTATTCATGTGATGGTAATGCTGAATTTTCAGCATTATTACTACAGTCTGCAGTGTCACATGATCCTTCAGAAATTATTCAAATATGCTTATTTACTGCTCAAGAAACACTTCTTATTATACAAAAATAATACTTTTTGATAATTGTAATACAATTGTCAAAAATAGTTGTGCTGCTTAATATTTTTGTGAAAACTGATACTTTTTTCAGGATTCCTTGTCAAATGAAAAGCTCAAAAGAACAATTATTTGAAAAATTATATATTTTAGTAACAAATATAAACGTTTTTACTATTTTACAACACTATTAACTATTTACTGTCACTTTCACTATCAATTTAACACATCCTTGCTTAATAAAAGTATTAAAAAAAAAACTTTAAAAAGTTGCACTTTTGGTTACATAGAAGTGACATAAAACCTATTGGGGGGGGGGGGGGGTTCCACTTCCAGTTTTTGTCCAAAGTAGTCAAAAAATGATAAGTCACAGGAAATTTTGGCGTTCTCTGGTTTTGTATTTGTGGCATTGTAGGTACCATTGCTAGACCCTAATTGTGGTTATAGGATCACTTGATCGCAATTATTATTATCTTATTTCAAGATAAACAGAAGTCAATGTGTGTGCCGTGTGCATATGTTTGTGTTTACTAGTCCTCATATCAGCACATGCACAGCTCAGCATTTCTGAGTAAGTGGGTGGTGATCTGGCACTGCTGTGTAAATGAAAAATCCTTCACTGTTTCCAATCACCGTGTCACCATTTAATCAGAAACACACATATATGTCTCTCCACCCTCAGAGAAAGGATGTCACCACACCATACAACTCAACCCATACTTAATACTTTCTCAAACATGTCTCCAAACCTTCAGTTAAACCACACACCACACCAGCCTTGGGCCCCATTTCAGACCACAACCAAAGACTTAGAAAAACATTAGGATATCGGTAACCCGTGCTTCTACCAAAGTCCCGGACGGTCACTCCCAACCCAAGCGTGTGAGCTATGCAGAGTTTACATTCAACTTGGTCACTGACCCCGTCCATGTCATGTGTATATTTGTGCACTCTACAGTACGCCTGTCTTCAGATGCCATTGTAAAGAGGACACAACCTGGCCTAGCAAAACCCCAAACACCAGGGCTCAATCGTTCGTGTTTCTGTGGGCGTCAGGCCAACAGGAAGGACAATATTGTTTCAGAGCCGGAGACAAAGCCTCCTTTTCTGAAGCTGGGCGGTCTTGATGCCGCAGGGGCAGAGGGTGAAAAATCGGTCATTATTGTAACAAAACGTAGGCACTGTTACCCTCCTCCTTTGAGGTCTTTCAGAAGTGATGATCATGATTGGTTCAAAGCAGTAAAATTAAGCGTGATCAAGTTCAAAGAGCTTTGTAACGCAGCGTTCTGACATATAAGAAAAAAGTGACTTTCTGAAGAAAAGATAACTCACTATGGCTGTTATTAAATGGCATTTATGATGTGCACTTACCTTTAATTATCCCTGCAGCAGAGAGTTACTCACGGTAAATATTACCCTTGACACTGACCTTTATAAGTAATTACAGAGACACGCTTAAAACGCTCCAATATGCACCTGACAGAAGTGCATCACACACACACACTGTCAGAGACATCTGTTAAATTTAGAATGGACTTTTTAACCAATTTAAATGTGCCAATGCTTTATTACAAAGGATTATCACAAAAGGAATTTTTAAGAAATGTTTTTGTTCATCTAATGAAAGCCAATAGAGTCCAAAGAGGTTGTTTTGGATTCAGTGCTGTTATTGTTAACTAAAACTATTAAAAATCATTTTGGGTAATTGAAATATAGCTGAAACAAGATAAAGCATAAGTATTAGATAAAATTAGAAAAACTTAAACTTAAAAAAAATGTTGCACACTAATTGAAATAAGTTTAATAAGTACTTAAACTGAAATAAAAATTTTAATTAAAGCTAAATAGAAATAGAAAATGACAAAAGCAGGACCCGACCGGGGATGTTGTCTGTGCTGGCTGATTTCCATGTGTTTAAGTCTTTGCCACTACTTCAGATGAAATTGTAAATGATGGTGAGCTCTCTGCATTCCTTTCGACGAAACCGATGTCTGCTGGTTTGTTGTTGGAAGCCTCAAAGCGTGCAAAGAATGTTCGGGTGTAAAACTGTTGTCAGTGTTCTCATACCTGCCCTTGCTCTGATAGTCTGTGATATTCTGTAATCCCTGCCACATGTGCCGGGTGTCCGTAGTGGTGCAGTGACGCTCAAGTCTCAGGCTGTAATCTCTCTTGGCATTCCTAATGGCTCTTCGAAGATTGTACCTGGCCTTCTTGTAGTCGGCATTACCTATAACAAATGCAGCAGAGCGTGTGCGCAGCAAGGATCGAACTTCACCGTTTATCTAGGGTTTTTGATTAGGAAATGTCCGGATCTTCTTAGAAGGTTCTGTATTATTGGTTCTGTCATGACAACTCTCGGAGGGATTGGCATGGTAATGTACATGACAATGTTAATGTATTTGGTTTTGGCAGAATAGATCTGCTACGCTGCTGTATTGACTTGCTGTACAGAGACTTGCTACTGCCAATACATCCACAACATGCTGCTGTGAGCATGTAATAAATATTGCTGCTGTAAATATAACATGCATGAAATAACCCCCATATAGCACACATGAATCACCTCGTAGCAGATCTATACAGGTGGAGCTGGGGAAGGTGGAAGGTTTCTGAAGCAAGCTGCAACTGCTACGGCAAGCACTAGTCATATATTTGAATGTTGAGAAGCGAGCTCATTGGCTACCGATACAAGAGAGAACCAATCAGCTGTACCATGTGATAATGATGTCATTAGGTCTGATTGAGTTAGACCTATCAGACTAGAGTTTCATGCCAGAACTCTGTATTTCATATACTAATGTAGCTGATTACAGCTGACATGTAATCATCGAGATCAACAGTACTGTCCTCACGTCTAGCAGCATCCTTAAAAACTTCCTGGCTAATGGTGTGAAAGCAGTCTTGAAGCACAGCATCCGATTCTGCGGACCACACTTTTACACTTATCTCAGTATCTGTGTTAAAGAACTCTGTATTTCATATACTAATGTAGCTGATTACAGCTGACATGTAATCATCGAGATCAACAGTACTGTCCTCACGTCTAGCAGCATCCTTAAAAACTTCCTGGCTAATGGTGTGAAAGCAGTCTTGAAGCACAGCATCCAATTCTGCGGACCACACTTTTACACTTATCTCAGTATCTGTGTTAAAGAAATGTTTAGAACATTTCTGCTCACCTGACAGCTGGCTGTCCGTCAAAAACCGGCAGACTCCGCCCATGTCCAGAAACGCTCCGGCAAAGGCTGGTATTATGTTAACCTGTGAGAAGATTTGACCCCGGAGGGATCAGAGGTCAGAGTTTAACGAAGACCACCATGATGGATAGTTTAAAATAATTTAAAACAGTCGTCTTTCAGAAATGGCTTAAGATCCAGTGAGATGACTAACGGCTTACGAACGAGAGTGATTTAATAGCAGACAGTAAGTAGCAGTTGTTCTTGGATCACGTCCAGAATTATAACTGGCCCAGAAGACTCACAACAGCTGGGATATTTAAACAAATCTGATCATTATATGAGCATTACTAAATACATGTTTCAGATGAATCTTAAGTAAAATACGAGAGTTCTTATAGATGGGTTTTCTTCATTTAGAGCATGAGCTCAGAGTAGATGAGGATGCTGGAATGTTTTATTGCGTCCTGGTTTCTATAAACATTCCCTTTGAATCTCTGGACCGTATCTTATTTCACATGCATTTAAAAAAAAAAAAAGCATTTGGCATTAGCACTTGGCGTTTGTTTGCTTTTCCTTCTCAGTGTCAGATCTATAATGCGCCATATTTTTCAAATTATTGTGCATTACATTGCATCATAAACAGGAATGTCTTCAAGAGCGCTGGCTGTGATTGCAGTCGGCTATAGGGAGTGGGTGGTCTTACCCTCTGGCGGTGCTGCGGATGGGCAACGTTGATTTTTCGCAGGCAACTTTTTTCAGAGCCCTTTAGGCATATCAAGACGGACCAGTCTCTTCCATCTGTGTTCAAGGGAGAATATATTTAGCGAAAGATGAAGAAATAAAAGAAAGAAAAAAGATGGCAAGATCAGCACCAACTATGTGCTGATGACAGTTTGCCAAAAACAAAGGATTAAGGAGCGCACACGCACACACACACACACTTTATTGGTGATCTAAATGAGGACATTTTTTAAAGTTCATTATAATTACAACTACACACAAATACAAACCCTAACCATAAACAACTGTTTAATAATATATAGGCAGCAACATATCAGCTATTAACTAATTATCTTTACATAAGTTTAAGACATGTGTTTCAACAGAAAATATTAATTTTATTTATTACAAATGAGGACATCTCTGTTCCCATATTATAATAATAATAATAATCAATTATTCTAATTATTAAACGTAATATTTATTTATTTACTTGTGTAAGACATTTCTGATGGAAATGTTGAAATACCATAACTTTATTGATAAATAATTTTTTCCAAATTAGGACATCCCTGAATGTCCCCAAAGGGAGGTTTTGTCATATTTGGCTCACTTCTGGGGACAATAATCCCCAAAGTATAGCTAAGTAAACACTGTAAAAAGCAACACAAAACCTTAAGTAAGGAAGAAAGCTTTAGACTTGGAAAAATCTTCGCTCTTATATTAAAGACGGCCAATAGTTGTGAAGTCCTTTTACAGTCCTAAAAATGAGGACAAAAGTGGATTACATAATGCTGTGGCAACACTATACGCGCAGTCAGGAAGAAACTGAGGCACAGCCAATTTTCCTTTCGCTGTAAGATTGCCTTCATCTATACTTGACAATGACATTCTTTCAACTTTTTAATTTCTTTTATGCAGCTTTGAATTAAAGGAGGGACATTCATGGTTTCGACAAGACATCAAAGACTCATAGCCCCCTACACAACCTCTCTGATTACAAAAACGTATGATTTATGAGTGCCGTTTTAATTCACCAAATTCCAGACCAGAGGTTCAGAGGCCCAATTAGCCATCTAGAAGTCACAATATGATCAGCCCACTTCAAACTGAATATATTATGGCACATGTTTCAGTCCATGACAGCTGTTAAATGTAATATATACTGCCTTGATTAACCAACCTGAAATACTAAATAAGTAAACAAATAAATTCCAACTAATCCAACCAAAAGGATGTTGATTCAGGAACATATTCTACTTAATTAAATCAAGTTGCATGTGCACATGTAATGTTTAATGCTTTAGAAATGTGACCCATTGTTTATTGAGTTAATAAAACATCAAATTCTTTGAGAGAGAGAGAGAAACTGGAAAAAGCACATCTGGTAGTTATTGTGGTGCTTAGCATCGCTCCAGGAAATGGGCTGGTGTGTATTTGGCATAAAGTCCAAACATTTGTGCCTGAGTGCCGTCCCAGCCCAAACAACAGGAAGTACTGTTTATAGCCAAAGGGAATCATGGGAAATCAGCCTTCATGTCCCTCCTGATACAATCAGGATAATTTCAGCTCATTCTATGTTCAGATAGTGCTGTTAACAGCTCATCATTTATAATCAGTTCAATGTATTTTAATGTTTCTGCTTTTCCTGTGGTGTTCCAGGCCAAAGCTTAGACTACAGTTTATAAGTAATGCATACCAAACAGCCCATAGTTAAATAAGCATCTCTACTGGTAAGGTCTGTACTGACTATATAACTGTCACCACGTGTAAATCTACGATCATTAAACCCTTTACACACATGCTATCTGAGATGTTTAATGGGCCGGTAATGGAAAGCACTGGAAGGCTCGCTGATGCGTCCAGCGTTCCTGGCATTAGATGAGTGTGTGTTTTATCAGCAGTATTTCTGTGTATGGTTCTGGTAAAGTTGTTTGGGTGAAGCTAGCTGTTGGCTCGATGGCCTCAAAGTTTTTGATGTGTCTGCAGGCCAGTCCATCAATCTGACAGACAGCTGTCGACAACCTGTCTTTGTCCGCAGCGGCAAACAAACACCTGCTTGTTTCATCACATAATACACATATGGCCTCTACTAAAATAAATTAAACTGAAAAATAAAATAAAATCTGTGAACCAAATTTAATCCTGAAACCTAAAGGAATTTTAGTACCTTTAAAGCAAAGAACACCACCACCAGCAAATAATTGTAAATCCAATGATATGATGTAAAATGAGATGATGATGTAAAATACAGAAGTAAAACTTCTTACTTATATTGTTATGCTGGTACATAATTTGTCAAAATGTGTATTCAACTGGAAAAATGTACATCAGAAACATTTTCACTAATGATCTCAGAAGATGTTTGGAGTTGGTATTTTTTTCATCCACAATAATGTGCCATTACATACTTCATTCAGGAATTGTGGTTTTCAAAGAGTCAAAATACTTTTTGAAAAAATTTTTTTGTTTATATTGAAGAAAGGGCTCAAAATAACAGCTCTATTTGAGGTAATAATCTCAATAAATCTCAATTTGTGGTAATACAGTTGCATAATACTAGTTTATGCATCTATATAAATTTCAGGATGAATATGGCATAACCAAGTAACAATGGTCGGCACTATGTACGTGAAAAACTAAAGGGCACAGTTCATGTTAGAGGCCTCCATCTCAATCCCCTCTCTGTGTCCAGTCACGACCTGGAGGAGGAGGAGGGGAGGAAGGTTTTAGGACCCCAGCTGTGACCGTGAAGCAGTGCTTAAACTGAGCTGGAGACCAAATTAACCCCCGAACCAACTGACAGTGGGCAAGAAAAACAAACTTCTGAGATCACAAAACATTTGTATAATGACCACTAAACTATATTTGACCATTGTCCCTGGAGATCAACCAATGATACCTCACATAATACACACAAAACATTGCTAAAAACACACAAAGGTAAAATCAGAGTGGTTGGAATATTTGCATACTACATACTATACAGTATGTACTGTGTACTGCATACTCTCACAAATAAATCAACAATTATTCAACAATAATTATATCAAACAGTAGTATGCTTCATTGTTGTCAATCTGTCTTGGAAATAAACAATTATTTCACATTTTTAATTTAGTTCAAAATTTCATTTAAACAAAAATTCATTTCAATCAAATAAGGGGAATACAATGTAATAAATACAATTACAGTCCTATTTATTATTGACATGCCTTCCAGTTCATTCTTCTCATTAGAAACAGATGGTTAAGTCAGGTGTATTGCATTGCATTTGCAGCATACTTAGGTTATATACCACACATTTTGGTGAATTTAGTTCACATCAGGCATTCCATGCATCCAGAAAATTTGCATACTGCGATATGTGGTGCAAAAATAGAAGTTGGTAGCATGCCCGTCTAAACATACCCAATCTGTCCTGAGCCCATACATGAATGCATATGTGTGCTGCTGTTATGTTCTCAACAGCACATTAACATCATATTTTTAGTATACATTTTGTATGCAGTATGCATTTTGTGTATTATATACAAATGTTCTGTATGCATAATTAAACACAGATGTCCTATTACATTACATCGAACATTACATATCGATGCAGTGACAATACACTACACAGAACACTGTATCCCACAATTCAATGCACTTACTTGAGATTCCATTCCCACTGCAGCAAATTAATCCTAAATAATTTCAACCATGATTTAACACAAAATTGGATTAAAGGAATAGTCCACCCAAAAAAGAAAGCATGTTGAAAACTGACTAACCCTCAGGCAATCCAAGATGTAGATGAGTTTATTTATTTATTTTTTTCATCAGAACAGATTTGGAGAAATTTAGCGTTACATCACTTGCTCTCCAATGGATTCCCTGTAGTGAATGGGTGCCATCAAAATGAGAGTCCAAACAGCTGATAAAAACATCATAATAATCCACAATTAATCAACATGACTACAGTCCATCAATTAACATTGGTTGATGCAAAAAGCTGCGTGTTTCTAATAAACAAATTCACCAGTAAGACGTTTTGATTTCAAACTGTTGCTTCTGGCTAAAATACAAGTCCTCCATCCATAATAATGCTTTCTCCAGTGAAAAAATAATCTAGTCTGAATCAGAACTGAAATATGCACAGATTAAGCACTGTTTACAAGTGAAAACAGTTCTAAACAAATTTGTTGTGGATTTGTATGTGAGAGGACAACAGGGGATGGACTTTTTCACTGGAGAAAATGTTATTTCAAATTATGGAATTTGGCCAGAAGCAACAGTTTAAAGTTAAAAGCTTCAGCGAATATTTGTTTCTTACGAACAGACAGTTTTCACCTCACAAGACATTAATTGATGGACTGGAGTTGTGTGGATTACTTGTGGATTATTATGATGTTTTTATCAGTTGTTTGGACTCTCATTCTGACGGCACCCATTCACTGCAGAGGATCCATCGGTGAGCAAGTGATGTAATGCTAAATCTCTCCAAATCTTTTTTGATGAAGAAACAAAGTCATCTACATCTTGAATGGCCTGTGGATAAGTACATTTTAATTTCTGGGTGAACTACTCCTTTAAAAAAGCTAAATGAACATATTTACTGTACAGTATGTTAAGAGCTGATAACCAGACACTGCTTTCTGAATTAGGTCATGTAATAACCGTGCATCATGCTATAGGTTAAAGTGTTGATTATGCATAATTTTTTTACATATTAGAAGTCAAATATAGGCAGCATTCAGTGTAGTGCATACTGTGCAGTAAGTAGTACAGTAGTATTCCAAATATAAACAGGATGTTATTGTTCCCCTCTCACCTCTCCTGTCCTGTCTGAGTGAGGCGCTGGTCTCTGCATAACAGGCCTGATCCACTCTATACCCCTGCTGCTGTAGGACTCTCTGGTACAACTGGACCTCGGTGTCCGTTGGAGCATGTTGGCCTGTCAGAATAATGGCTTTTCCCACACAGCTGCGCTTAGAATGACGCACCTGAGAGAAAGAAAAGAGAAACTGTTTAGCAACTATACTTTTTTCTTTTAAACATCAATTTATTCTTGATGTTACTTCCTTTAAAATTTCATAAAATGCACAAATAAACCTGATTTCTAGGTTACAAATGCTCGATGAAGTTCATAACAGGGTTTAAAGCGTCCTCTGACTTTGTCACACGTGAGGATCACAACACCAGGGGCTAATCAGAAAGGCTGCTGAGCATTTCAAAAGTACCCATAATGGAGTCTAGCATGGTAATGACCTCTGTGGGTCGTCAGGTAGGGAGGAGGGCTGAACCCCGATTAGATGAGAGCAGACTTCAGACGCCTGGACTCGCTCAGAGGCTGCACATGAGAATTCTGGGATATGGTTCAGTTTAGCACCAGAGGAAAGCTCAACAACATGACTTGTTGACATGACAGCCTTACTAAAAGTCATATTAAACATAGCACACGATCATCCAGTTCCGTGTTGCATAACAGAATCAGAGGAACACAGCGTTATTTGGGCAGAGCTTCAGCATGAGTGTGTGACTGAGGAAGGGAGGGGAGCGTTTCCTCTCCTTCAGCATGGCTGATACTGTTACCCTTTCTTCTCTCTCTGTATGTGTTCATCTTTTTCTGCCGTCGTGCTGTGCTGTTCTCTCTCGCTCTCTCGCTCTCTCTCAGAGGTCCACTCCTCCTCTGCTTGTAAATGTTTCCATCTGGGAGCTCAGCCACATTAATGAAAGGGTCCTAAATGGCCAAAGTCAACCCCTGCACCCCATTATTCACTCATTTAGTCCTCAAAACAGACTCTTTATGAATGCTTATACATTACATAGGTTAGGGATTTAAAAATAAAACCGTAAACAACTTTTAACTGACAAATTCTTATTAGAGGATATACACAACAACCATATACTACTACTACTACTAATAATAATAATTATTATTATTATTAACAACATTGGGGTTAGCTGTACATTAGTTTTAGTTGTACATTAAATAATATATTTATTACTTTTTATATATATATTTATTTATTTATTTACATATAATCATAGAAACGATAAATATTATATTTTTTGTTATTGATAGTATTTTTATTTGTAAATGTAATGCTTTTATTTCTGATGTATAACCCTTTTATATCATCATCATCAACAACAACATTAATATTGAAACAAAAGAGTTAGTTATACAGTTATATAGTAATATATTTCTAATATATTTAAGTATTAGTTTACATATAATAATAATAATAATAATAAATATTATTATTAGCAGTAAATGTAATACTTATATTTATTTCTAATTATATTTAAATATAGTAAATATTTACCCCCCCCCCCCCCCCCCC